TTCTTTTTTCTTCTCAAACATAACTAGTAGACTATATAAATTGTTCTGTAGCTTGTATGTGGGAGGTGTCTTGTGACAAACACCTTCAGATGTTTAAAAGCAGATTAAACTTCTCAGCCTCTGGAAGTCTTTCAGGCTAAAATAGGCTTTGTTTACTTAGTGCATATATCCAAATATATTTAATGCTTCAATAATATTTTAAAAAATCCACTGGATTGATGAATTTCCCCTGGAAGATGAACTTTAATATTGACCTAATATTCCTTGACCTTCTACTTTTAATTCATTAAACCTTTGCAGAAAGGCTTAATTAACTTCCAAATGCATGAAGTATTGTCTCTGAATTGGGTTTGCTGCTGTTATGTATTCTGAAGTCTTGTGTACACACGTTAGTTACCTGCTTTTTGTGAATTTGTTTTTTTGCCATAAATCACTCATAAATCTACTTTTTGTTATTTTTCTTTTGCAGTTACTGTTTGTATGAGTGCTGTTATGTTGCAAGATATTGTTCTAAATCATTACTCCGGTTAGTTGGAGTAAGGCAACTGTTAAAATATCTGTGTAGAAATATTATTCCTAAACTAGTTTTAATTACACTTTGGACAGTTGATTTTAACAATTATTTGAAATAGAAATAATTGATGTTGCATTCAAAGGAATACTGATGTTGTATTTAAAGCAGTACTTACACAGGTGAAGAGTTTACTTCAGTGCTAATAAGTATGTTCATGTCTTTTTCTCTTACATAAAATTATACTGAAATGCAATCCAACTATGTTTACAGGGGCTGTTGTAAGGAAAGGGCTTCATAATGCAGACGGAATGTTATTAAAGCTAGCAGATACCTATGAGGGATTTGTGCTGCTTCTGTCCTTTACAGTATTTAGACATGATTTTGAGAGGCTTTTGGAATGATGATTGAATCTTTCTGCTCCAACAGATCAAGATGAAATAACATGGGTGATACCATTTGAAACAGTTACTTCATATTAAAGAATTGATCTGTGGCAATTGGACCTTCTGTCAGTATTTACTGTTCTTTTGGTATATCCTTTTTGTACTGTTTGGATTGTGAGGGTTAAGATGGATTGTTTGCCTCCAGAGAATCCAAATCTGGCAGATTTTTTTATTATTGCCTTGTTGAGGACATAATTTTTTTTATTCACCATGTTAACAGAAGGATTATTGCAATATTCATAGCACTGTAGAAGCACTGTTTGAAAGAATAAAACTGCTAATGTTCTGATTCATTAATGCATTACATACAGATTTTTCAGTTTTATCCTAATGCTTATTTCCAGTTATATTTTCCCTCAATTACTAAAACTTCCAGTACAGTGCATAGAGGGTTTTTGTTTTGTTCTAATTCAGATACTGCTGTTAGGTCTGGCGGAAAGGCTTATCCTATGGTTTCCATTGCACTTGAGGGTAGTACAGTGGCTAAATTTTAGGTAGTTCTGTTGGTGTATTTTTTGTCTGGCATTTACAGTTAATTAAATGATCAATAAAACTGAAAAATAACATCTTAATATAATCTGCATCCTGATTTGTAGTATTTCAGTTTAGTCTTTGATCCCGTTCTACCCTCTTTCTGTCTTTGCTCAAGTGTTTCCTTCTCAGTTCCTAAGTGTCATTGAAATACACACACATCTTTCCAGGAAACTTCAAGAGGATCAATAGAGTAAGTAGAGTACAACTAGTACAAGCTGATTTAAGTAATAGTTTAAAACTCATGCTGTTAAGAAAGTCTGTCATAAATGAGGCATACCTCCTATATGTTACGAGTTCTGTAGCCTGTAATTTCAAAAGTGAGACATTATTTTGGGAGGAGAAAATGCACAATTAAGCATTATATGTTTATAGACACTCTGAAAATGAAGCCTACTTTAAAATAAATGCGGTCTTTAGAATGAAATTATCTAAAAAGCTTATTTACAAAAAAAGTATGAGTTTTCTTATTTTATTTTTTTTTATGTTGGAGGTGGAGAATTTTGGTGAAGAGAATCCAAAAAAGTACTGCAAGACCCAGGCTTGCTCTTCCAACATAAGGATGATTTGAAGGTCACCCCTGTCAGAGGGCGCTGGAGAATCTGGGCCCTAAGATAGAATATTTGTTCCAATTGCTTTGGTAATATATCTTCTTTAGCCTATGAAAAATAATTCTTTACTGTAAACAGTGTATTTGTGTTATAATGAAGATATACATATATATATGCACTTGGTATATATTAATATATTATTTATGCATATGATACTTCTCTGTCAGACTTTTTTCTTTGTAAGAATGCTAGATTTTGAGTTCTGGTAACAGAGCAGTTAAGTGGTGCTTAGAACATGTACCAGTTAGTTTATGAAATGTGGGTGGATAATTCTGTCTCAAACTTTTTAAATTAATATATCATAGTAATCATTCTAATATGTGGTCATCTCATATGGGATAAGGAACAAAATAGCACAAACTAAGAATGATCTTTGTGTCTCCACTAGGTTCTTGAGATCTGTGATCTGTCAGGCATAAAACCTGGTCTCACCCTTGATTTCACTACCTGCAGGGAGGGCAAATTACAAAGAATGGCTGAATAGATTGTTTCTGATTTTACACAATTATCTTGTATGCAACAGATGAGAAGAGAATGTAAGGGCTCTGATTCTATTGTAAATATGAACAAAAATATTGATATGTAAACATTTAAATACGATGAGTTGTTTTTTCACTGTTTCTGAACTCAATTTTTTACAAGTAAATTAGAAATTAAGATATGCTGCTATTTATACATTGAAACCATATGCATTTGTTTTGGTTTTTTTCAACATTTTGAAAAGGAATCTCTGAAGGATGTGAGACAGACCTTGTTTATCTTCTTGTAGAAAGTCTTTTAGGTGTGCAAATAAGAAAATTAGTTTGCAGCTAATGGTATCTGAGCAATACAAATTATTTTATTAATGCAGTAATAGACCCATAAGGTCACTTGAGATCTTTACAGAAACAGTCCTAGAGGTTTTAGGAAAAAAAAAAAATAAATTAAAGGAAAGAAACATTAAATTTTACACTTTGGATATAAAATTTGATGGTTTCCAGGATGCATGCATATATTACAAAATACATGTTTTGTGACAGCTTTCATATTGCTACATGTAATTACTGATATTTTTTGCCTGTCAAAGTCAAAACAAGCATATAGGTCAGATCTGTAGGTCAGTCAATGTAATTTGTTCAGAAGCTATTTTTGAATGTGCTAAGCTAAAACAGAAAACCACAGTATAATTTCTAGTGTTGCTACATTAGTCACAAACTGACTTAGAGAAAGAATTAAAGCTGGTGCTCAGAAGTAGTCTTGTGTCCATGATTACATGAAACAAGCATGCTGGGTTGCTAAGGTCATGTTTTCTCAACCTGCTTATAGGTTAATTATCTGTGTCATCCTGGTAAAGGATGCAGCAATCCTGCAATGCATAGTCATTGTAATATTCCCCTCCACTTTCTGGAAAAAGAAAAAATAAAATATTTTGCCCCCCCTGTAGTAGGTAAATCTGGTCTTATATAAGTTATTATTATAATTGTAACATATGTATTTACTTTAAAGAAATTATAATGAATATTAATACAGATGGTGAAGGTAAATTTTTTTTGCCTGATGGCCTACCTGATAGAGGAAAAGTATCTACTTCAGGATTCATATAGAAAGCAGAGGAGAACACTTGTTCAAATAAATACTAATTTTCTTCTTCCTTACATGCATTTATTTTTGCTAATTGCTTTGTGTTAAGAAGTCCATTTAGGCAGTGTTATAAAAATTTAATTTCCCACTTCAAATAAAGGAGTACGTTTGAGATGTCTATCAGCAGTAGCCTGTGTTTTATCCAAGACTTTCCAAGTCAATAATATCGCTGCACTTGTCAGACAGAAGAATTTTTACTGTGTTCTGACTTCATCCGTCTTGGGATGTGTCAGTTTGTGGTTCTTGCACAAGGGCCTGTGGGAACCAAGTTGCTTTCTTTGATCCTCAGGAGAGAATTGACTTGTCCAGTGCCCTGAGTCACCTCTGGCACGGAGGGTGCAGAGCAGGACTGGAAGTCGGTAATCATCCTGGAAAAGTGTAGGCAGGAATAGGAATGTGGGACAAGTGGTAAGGAGAATGACATTTCTTCAAGGAGGGAAGGGAGGAAAAGCTGAGCTGATGGCAGAGGTGCAGGAACTGGTTGTACATTTGATACGGAGTGTGGGCAGGACATGAGCATGAGCACTGAGTAGTCCAAGACATTGATCTTAAAAGTAGAGCACAGCACTTTGGTAAAATGTCCCAGTGAAATACCTGATAGTGTATTTAACAAGATATTTTGCTACAAAGAAAACTGTATCTACTTTACAATATAACACAAGCCATAGGCTTTTCTTTCATTGGTGATTTTACCAGTGGATGCCCATCTGTAATGGGCATGGTGGCCTTGGCCTTCATATGGGGGAAAATAAAGGTAGTGGTGTTTCAGAACCAGACTGTAAAAGCTTTCAGGTGTGATCTGGCTTAGATCAGTGTTTTTAAATTCAATAACTTTGTATTTCAGGTTTGGAAGTCTTTTGGCAGGGTTTTGCCTAGAGCTTTTAAGAAGTGTTTTGTGAAATTCATGCTTGCAGTGTTTGTTTGTGGAGAAGTAGAACATGCTTTAAAAGCTATAAATGCCTAAACCTGTGTTTGCCAGGTAATTTTCTATTGGCCTGTAAAACTTCATGATCTTCCTGCCTTTCTTTATGTTTTTTGTTTGTTTGTTTGTTTTTTAATTATTATTTTGTTTTTAATGGGCTGCTGTTTGTCTCTGCATGGCAGGGAGGCAGGCAAGAGTAACATGAAAGAAGAGAAAGAGGCATTATTTTAGTACATAAAGGATGGCTAGTTTAATTTAGCCAGTTTTCAGGCTGCATGTGTGTATAATATATTATTCTGTGTATAATACATTTATTCTTTGTTTAGGAGATCTGAAAGGAGAGCCTGACTTATGAAGCGATGACTTGTAATGGCCCAGAGAATTCGGAAGCTTGTGCCACTCCAGATGCTGATCATGACCAGGAATGGGCACAGGAATGCTACCGACTAGGAACTTTTGTGGAATTTCCACTTGACTGTCCAGTTTCAGCATCAGCACTAGCACAAGCTGGCTTTGTTTATACTGGAGAAGGTGACAAAGTGAAATGCTTCAGTTGCCACACAGTTATTGAAGGATGGGCACCAGGGGATTCTGCCATTGAGAGGCACAAAAACCTTTCCCCAGATTGCAAATTTATTACTGAATCTACTTTCAAGGAAAATAGCATACATCCTCCCACCCAGAACTACCAGCACAGAACTGAAAATGGTTCCAGCAGTTCAGCCCAGCCATGTACTCTGGATGACCCTTCTGATGTGGAGGCAGATTACCTCTTGAGAACTAGGCAGGTTGTGGATATGTCAGATACTTTGTATCCTAAAAACCCTGCTATGTGCAGTGAAGAGACAAGATTAAAGTCCTTTTATAACTGGCCCCTCAATGGTCAGCTGACACCAAAGGAATTAGCTAATGCTGGATTCTATTATACAGGTGTTGGTGATCAAGTGGCATGTTTTTGTTGTGGTGGAAAATTGAAACAGTGGGAACCCAGTGACATAGCTTGGTCAGAACACAAGCGGCATTTTCCCAAATGCTTTTTTGTGCTGGGACGGGATGTTGGAAATGTTCCAAGTGAATCTGTTTCTGCTGAGCTTGGGAGAGGTGGTCTGAATGATACACAGCACCCAAGGAATCCATCTATGGCAAAATATGAAAGACGTTTACAAACATTTTTGACTTGGATATATCCTGTTGACAAGGAGCAACTTGCTGAAGCTGGGTTCTATAGCATAGGTAAGCCAGAGCTTAAAATGACTGATATCTTCTATGGAGAAAGTCTGTGTGTCTTGTTATGAAAAAAATATTTTGTTATTCTAATACAGAATGATTTGCCAGAACTTCTTTACTCTGTAAATTACTTTTCATAGTTCTTGTGTAAAATGATATTCATTATATCAAATATTTTTAATTGCAAAGTATAAACTTGGTCATAAAATCATATTTATCAGTAAAACATCGTTTGTTTTCCTTGCCTGATAGAACCCTCGTAATACATATTTCAGTAAGACAATTATTGCTGATAAGTTGTCTTTTTTTTTTTAATTTATTATTAAATGAAGTACTATCTTCCAGAAATCTACATGAGGGAGCAGGCTTGTGGCCTGTAGCAAGGCCTGTGAACAAGACAATCCAACTTGTGTGCCATCTTATTTAGTTAACACCTGTTTGCATTCTCACAGCATTTGGACACCTGAAACTAGCAGATGCCCAAACCCAGACAGAGACTCCAGCGGAAAATCTTTGCTGCTAGACATGGTAGTGTTTGACTTGGATAAGACTCCAGTGTTTTTGTGCATTGGTTTCCTAGTTGGATTGACTTGCACAGTGCTGTTACAGCTCTTTGAAAGTCTTCACTGAGAGGTGCTGTACAAGCATGAAGTGTTGCTTTTATTAGGTCACAAAGAAAGAGGATTATCTGGGGTAATTGCTTGCTCTCATCTTAATTGGCTTCTCTCTTAGTGGTTCTCAGAAGAACTTTTAAATCCGATTCCATTTGTTTTACTTGTGGCTTTGAATAAAACCTTTGATATATTCACATATGGGTGATCTGTGGGCAATATCTGTAACCAGTAGAACTGTTTTTATTGATTTCTTGGATTCCTAGAAGCACCTAGCTTCTCACAGCCAATCAAGATCTATATTGCTGAGGTGCACTAACCAGACACCAACTTTTCAGACCTTATGGTTGTTCAGTGACTTATATGAAAACTGTGTTTCAGGTGGCCTGAGAATGATTTAGCTCTGTAGGAAGAAGGTGTCCATACCACCTCTTATTTCAATAAACACAATATCTAAGCGGTTTCTGATGCAGTTTTTGATTAGGGTAGGCACAGTGCTAGAACTGAAAGAATGCAATTTCTGCCCACATCTCTTCAGGCGGTTATGCCATTGCTCTGTAGAGCCCACGCATGGTGACATGGAGGACCAAAAACATGTCAACAACTTAGTCTACCAGCTTTGAAGTAAAAGGCTTTGTGGTTTGTTTATCAGTGGATTGAGCTATTTGATAATAGATTTTTAGCTTTTGCTCTTTATAATTACGTGCTAAAATAAAATTCATCAATACTTGATGTGACTCTTTGTATTTTTAAGCTAGTCTCTCCTGAGCATTTGTTACAAATCATATGCATTATGTCCTCCTTTAGAATGGAGTTATTTTTTGTTGCAATTGCAAATGAATAAAGTATTTCTTAATAAGGGAACATTTTAGTTGAACACTTATTGTTATGTCTACTAGAAGTATGTAACTTTATTCTGATGTGTTTTCTCAGGTAATGGTGATCATGTTGTGTGTTTCCACTGTGGTGGAGGATTGCAAGAATGGAAGAAAAATGAAGACCCATGGGATCAACATGCCAAATGGTTTCCTGGGTAAGGTATTTTTTTACTGTTGTTGCATGTCTGAGTCTTGTTTGCAGTATAGTACATTTTAATAGCAGTATACTAATAAAGGTTTCAGAAGATTGGCTATGGCTTAATGTTGTTTAGCTTTATTAAGATATTTTTTTTAGTTGCCCTCTTCCAGTTCCTCCTCTTTCATTTGTCATGTAGGCACCAAAGGAATATCAGTTATCTTCCATGTGTTTGTTTTTTTCCTTTTCAATAAGTAGACAATATTTTAAGGAATGAGGTCCTTATTTTTATTATTCCATATGTTCTACCTTCTGTAGTCCTGCAATTCTATGTATAATCATCAGGGTATGCTTTCATGTTGTACTGGAGGCCTCAAAAGTGGACATTAACCTAATGTCATCTTTGAGAGGTAGGAGGGAGTTTTTCGAAAATGGATGGGAAAGAGCTAAATTTTGAGAGGTGGAGGGAACAACTAAGAGATTGTTCGTTCTGTTGCAGAACAGTAGAGGTGCTCAGTCTGAAAGGTTGCCCTGAAATTGTACCTTTCAAATAACTCTTAAGTCAGTATTGTTTGTATCTGAGCTTATTTGTCAGAATTATTAAAGAGAATAAAAGATTTCTGTGTCTGGACTTAACTGAAGTATCAGCTAGCAGAATTGTGAGGTTTTGTGAATGTATCTGATTTTTTTCCTCCTCATGATCCAAGCACTACATTATAGTTGTCATTTAATAGTTTCATACATGCCAAAGTTTATAACTCTTCTTGGGATATAAATTTACCAAACTTCTGTCATTGTGTAAACAAACCGAAAGAAGTCAGTAGTGGTATTGAATTCAAAGCATACTTCAACATAATTTTAAAGGATTTTAAAGGACCCAGCAGTAGTTTTTGGAAAGACTGCCAATTTTGTCTAAAATCTGTCATGAGGAAAGGAGGAGTATGTGACTCATTGTTTCTTACAGGTGGATAAAAGCTGTCCAAGTACAAAGACTTAGTTACTTGTATAACTTTGATGAAATCAATGTATTTCTGGGAGCATTTATGCATTAGCTGATTCTTTTTTCAGTAGTGGTACAGGCAGCTTGTAACTTTTAGTCTCTGCCACTTGAAAGTGATGCCTTTCCAAGTTTTTGGCTTGGTGCAGTGAATGGTTAAGACACTTTCTTGCTACACTTCACTCCTTTTTACATGGGTTTGATTTTGTTTCAGTTGATTTAAATTATGTCAGATTTTATTACTTCCTCTCAGATCATTAACTGTTTTATATGGAGTTTTTGTTTTTTGCACATAAACTTGAGTGGCAGGGTATCAGTCTTACAGCATGCCATGTCCATGAACAGGACACTGTGAAGGTGAAGTAACTGCTGAAGCTGGATCTAATTGCAATTATATTTCTTTCACTTTTAGGTGCAGGTTTGTGAGAATGGAAAAAGGGCAAGAATTTATAAATAATGTTCATTTAAGAGATGAATGTAGGGATTCAACAGTAAGTGTCTTGCTTGTTAAATATAATTTTGTTAAAATAGCAAACAGTTTTCACATCATTTTCATATGGAGCTACTCTTAATTATCTGAATATCATTTAGTCCTCCTGCTGCTTTCATTGACAGAAAGAGAAAGACATCTAACCATGTTTTGGTTCTGTCATTCAGAGTTTCTGGATCTTGCAATTCTCCTTGGGTGGGATCACAGATGGTTACCTTGGATATTTTGCATGTTTGATATGAAACAAGTGCGCTGGTTTTTTTTGTGTTTTTTTTTTATAGCCTGGGAACTTAAGGCTTACAATTAATCATCTGCTTATTGAAGTGTAGTAAAAATTTTCTCTCTTCTTGTTGGTAGAACATTGTTTAACTGTATGCAGTCACTAAAAAGTAAAACTAATGTTATTTTAGAATACTTTGATGGACTAAGAATCATGATTATAGCAAATATGGGCTTAAATGACAAAAACAGTATGAAAGATGTAACAAAACACTGATCCCTTTACAGTTGTTCAGAGCAGATTCAATAGCTTCAGTCAACAACATAACTGAGCTCAAATAGCTATTTTTTCTTGTAACTGTATAGTTTCCTTCTACCTTCTCCAGAATGATAACTCTTGTTTATATTTCAATTCTAGACAGAAGCTGCTGAAGGGACAATGCTTACTAAAGGTATCTGTTTTAAAAAAACAAAAACAACAACCCAAACAAACACCCCTCCTTTTTTGAATATCTGTATGTGCATATATAGTCAAGTAAAAGGTTATTTAAAAAAAAAAACAACGCTGTTGCATTTTTAAATAAAGCAAGACAGGAAAAAATGTTGGATGGTGCTTTTCCATTGCTTTTAAATAATAGTGGGATGAATTTTATTTCTCTTAGGGGAAATCTTATAATAAAGATAAATAATAAAGAATGTTAATCATTAAAGAAGTTCATATAGGAAGCAGTCTTATTTTTAGCTAGCAAGTATGCACCAAGTATTGAATTAGTAGTGCTGTGGGATGAATCTTAAAGAATGCTGAAATGAAACAATCTGTGTTGCATTTCATGAGGCAGGAAGAGTTGGTCTGTTAAATGGGAAGGACTAGAAAGCTGAAATATCTTGTTATATGTTCCAGTATTACACATTCCTGCAATGTTTTTCACAAATGCCAAGCAATAAAAAGACAAGACAGTTAAAGGAGTAGTAGGAAGACAATGAGGCAGCTCCATCACAGGGAGTAATAAGCTGCTGCTAATAAGAATGGTTACACAAAGCCTGTTTTAGAAGTCTTTCACACATTGCACATTTATGAGAGTGAAAATTTAGTTAAAATTTTTTGCTTTTTGAACAGTCTTGCTAAGAAGAAAATAGACATTTACATGTAGTAGAATGCTGTCTGATAATCAGATTCATCCTTGTTACATTGTTGTGTGTTTTTTAATTTTTTGTTTTAGTTGATCTCTTGCAGAATCCTTTGGTACAAAGTGCCATAGACATGGGTTTCAGTTTGTCTGATATTAGGAACACCATGGAAAAGAGATTGCAGATGTCTGGAGAAAGTCACACATCTGTTGAGGATCTGGTAGCAGACTTAAGTGCTCAAAAAGAAAATACAAGGGAAGAAGAACCAAATGAAATCCCAGTTGAGCAAGATGAGCTTATTCAGTTACAAAACCTCTGTGTGTACTTTCAATATCAGCTTTATAGTCTATGAAACATATCTTATCTGTTTATTCTACCCTCTGATCCAAGTCTTAGGTGAAGTTATGGTATTTTAACTTAAAATTCAAGATGTTTCTTTTTGGACATTTGAAAAAAAGCTGAACAAAGAGGGTATTAAATATTTGAGCAGAGCAGCATTTATAAATATTTATTAAATAAATAGTATTAATACCTGAAAAGTGTATAATACTGAACTTCTAGTGCTTCTGGGAAAAGTTATACATGCTAACTAAGAAGCCCAAATGATTGTAATAACATTTTTTTAAAAAAGCAGTAGTAACTATAGATGTGGTGACTGGTGGCAAAATGAAATAGACACAGCAACATTCTGTCAAATACTCAGTATACTCAAAATTAAAATCTTAGTAGGGGATTATTTATTTTTCACTATAAAATTTTGCTTAGGATAGAAGGGACATACAGGTTATGCTCAGGCAGCCATTGTGGTACACTCTGCACCTAGACCAAACCTAAGATTTCTAACTCAGACTTGTGGTTTAGGACAAGCATATAGATGAATTCACAGGGAGGGAGAAGACCATCTGGTTGGCATGATAAACAGTGATCTTACCAGCCCACTCTTTTAAATAAGATGTTTAATGGACATTATGGGGGAAAAAGATCTTGCAATGAAGATGGACATGATTTTTGTGGTTGGCTGTGTAGAGCTTTCCCCAAGTAGAGAAGGGGAAGGTTTTGAAACCTGCATTTTGAAATGGGGCATACTGGAATAATGAAGAGCTCATGTACAATGCAAAATGTATTCTTTCTATATTAAAAATTATTAAGCCTTTGAAGTATCGGCCTTTAGGGAACAGGGGCAGGGAAGGAAATCACATCCTCCTTCTTTTACACTGGGGAAGCTCTGAAAAAAAAATAAATCCAAATTACTTAACCAGTATCAGGAAGCCTTTCTTTCACCTTCTGTACAAGTTGTGGGAAAGTTGTCAATGGGAAGGCTGTGAAAAGAATGGTTCCTGATTGAAATATGCATACCCCAAATTCTAGAGTTGTTTCAGGGTCTTGTGAATGTAGGTAACTGAATTCCCTGCTTGCATTGGCCTGGGAGATGTAATGAGATGGAGAGAGGGTTGGGGAGGGAAGAGGATTCCATGCTGCAGCTTGGTTTCTTCTCTCTAGTTAATTTTTTCTTTTTAAAGTCATAACCTTTAAATCAGATGAAGAAAACCCTGTCCTTTTGTCTATTGAAAAAAAAAAAAAAGTAGAGAGATTCAGTGGTACTGAGTATGTTAACTTCTTTTATCTGTTTATTTTCCTTAGATCTCAGTACTGAAGAGAAGTTGAGGCGCTTGCAGGAAGAAAAGCTTTGTAAAATCTGTATGGCTAAAGAAGTATCAGTTGTCTTCATTCCCTGTGGTCACCTACTTGCCTGTAAGGAATGTGCTGAAGCACTTAATGAATGCCCTCTGTGTCGTACAGATATTATGAGAAGGCAGGAAGTTTATATGTATTAGTGACATGTGTGTAATGTAAAAAATGCAGTTAATTCCAGGGTATAATCATATGGCAGTATTTAGGGTTTTGTGCTGTCAAACTCTACATACATTGTAACATTTGAAAAAATTATTTTCCTTAAGTGATTTTTTTGGTATATAAAAACAAATATTAAAAGGCAAATATTTATATTCTGTAACTTTAATGAACCTGATTTGGGAAAGCCTAAGTAATGCAAAGCTTTATTTATATAATAATTCCTTTGCCTCACTTCAGTGTGACTGGAGTTTATGCAAATACAGTTGTTTAAATAGTCTAGCCCTCTATGAAACTTGTAAATAAGTGAGTATATATGTATATAATAGTTTTTAAAATTATATCTGAGATTTTAGTTTCTCAAAAACATGATGAGATAGAAAACTTTATTTCTACAACTTTAGTTGTGACATAATTCAGAGAATATGCGTAAACCTGCTGTGATATTTCACCTTGTTTGCTACTGCTACTTGAAAGTGAGTCTATTTGGATACATGACTCCTGAGTCTCCATTTCTTTTTTCTGGTTTAGATATTTAAATGGGCTTCAGTAAACTGGTTTTACCCATCCATTGTTCATGAAAATACCTCTGTATAGAAAATGTACATAAATTTCATTCCTTAAAAGAGAATTCAACAGAAATGAAGGAGATTTTGTGTACTTTGTGTACTTCGTGAAAGGAGCAGTCTCATTTTAAACTTACTGCCCTACACAGAAAGGTGTTCGTTGTTTGTTTTTTTTCTTGTTTGTTTTTTTTATATTAGCATTGTCCTGACTAATTTATCTGCTAATTTCTTGCAGTGCTTCTGTTTTCTTTTAGAAGTTTTTTTTTTAAAGGTTAAATTCTGTCTGCATGAAAACGCTTTCTTTTTATAATTCACAGGCAATGTTAAAAGTCTTTCATTTTTCTTGTCAGTTTGCAGCATTTAAATTAAAAAAACTAAACTGTTCCAGTGAGAGTCACCTGAAAATACTTTTAACTATTTCTTACTGGACTGGTCCTCAGCTCTCTAATAAAGAGTGTCATAGCTTTGTATTTCAGTACAGCTGGTTAACAATTAGTCTACTGAATTATGTGACTTCCTTATTTTGTGGAGCTGTGAATATGTATGTATTTTTGAGTCCTACACACTAAGAAATATAGAATATACAGAATATAGTTTTTCACATTATAGAAGCTTTAAATCCAATACACAGAAATTTAATGTCTGTTTTTTCTATTTTTTAAAATATGTGCTGTGGTTATTGCTGGTGTAATGTTATGAATATTTAAAATAAAGTGCAACCCAGTTGTTCCTTGATCAGTGTATTTGAGTCTACATTAAAAAAAAAAAAAAATCGTAACAGAAGGTTCCTTTCTGGTGCATTTTTGTTTTATAAGTCAGCTGTTAATAATTTAACCTGACTGTTACTAAGGATAACAAATACATTTTAATTTGAGTGGAAATAAAAGTAATTGTTTGTATAAATAAAAAAGTTCATTAATTATAAAATTACAATGTTAAGTTTACTATTTTTTGCAATAAATTATAATTTGTTTCTTAGGATTGCATGATGACTAGAAATTCATAAAGAGTTCAGCACAGAATGGTTGTATTTTGACTTTTTGTGCCTTTGTAAAAAGTGTAGTGTTTCAGATCACCCACGCAGATGGGGATTTTCCAGGACAGGTATGGACTGGCAATTCTGACTGCCTTGTTTCTAACTCCCATTTTCATTTACGAGGGGGTTCTGTACTTTTCAAGGGAAATTAAAGGCAGGGGCGGGGGGTGTTGGCCTGTGTACTCATGTATCTTGCCTGAATTACCTTGTTTAGTTTGTGTTGCAAACCGTGTTCTAGTGACTTGCTGAAGCAGATGGTTTGTTACCTAACCTTCACCAAAGTCACGTGAGGGAGAATGTCTGGATGAGCTGGATCCAACTTACAGGCTGCAGAACTTGGCGTGTGGCTCAACAAAGCCCTGCCTGGAAAAGAGTTTGACCAAATTTTACTTAGAACTATTACAAAACTAAATCCTAGTAAGGAGATGATTTTGGATGTTAGAATGTAAACTGTTTGAGGAAAGCCTGGAAGTAGGTCACAAATAGTACCGTTAAACTGAAGGGGAGTGTGAACACGTTGTGCAAATGTTATGCAGGCAAATACCATAAAAGCTTTATGTTCAAGCTTGCTAACTTAGAAGGTGTACTGTATCCTTTACTGCAACTTTTTAATAAATGTTATAAAAGATGCAGCTATAATGATACACCTATAATAGGAATTACAATTTTAATCAGGAACATTAAAGGGTTAAAAGCTTATTAGCAAGACCACAAAATAACTGCTCTGTGGGTTTAGGTTTTTAAAAAACTATAATCAGAGTTCTATTCAGACTAAGTGTGAAAAAATAATTAGCATAGTCATCAACTCTTGACAGCTTGAATTAGGACGATATTTTTTCAAATTACTTTGACTTTTAGTATCTTTAAGAAACAGAAGTAGTTTCCTAGGTACTGATAGTGAGTGTTCAAAGAGAGAGAAGTGGAGGATGCAAATAAAGGGGGTAGAAGCACAGTTGCTTTGAAAAGGAGGTTAGAAGCAGGACAAACATTTCTCAGGAGTTGATTTTTATAGGGTTACCTGGAATTAAGAGCTGTGGAATATATTCAATTATCGGTATTCAGTAACTTCTAGTACCTTCTATGTAAAATTTTTCTTACTTTTCATTTTACTTGCAACAACCGAACTATTTGCTGCTTTAGATATGAGGGAGATTCACAAGCGTTTTTCATAATGTGTTCTGGAACTGTTTTGTTTAGAAAACATGGAAATTGCAAACCTAATTTAGGAACAGAAGGATCAAATAAGGAAAACCCATTGATCCAATCTTCTTGTTATGCATTTAGCTATTTATTACTGGCTTGAAACATAACACTGACTTGACTGATTGCTGCAGCTGGTATCTCTACAGATATTTGGCTGTCCATACTTAAAATTCATTTTAGGGCTTGATCTGAAGCTCATAGAACAATAGAAAGATTTTAAACTATGATAGAGTAGTGGTGTTTTGTGGGAGGTTTTTTTTTTGTGTGTTTTGTTTGTTTTTTTTAAATTAGAGTATTCAAACACTTATTTTAATATTGCCTGATTAGTTTTGACTGCAATGCTCCTGTGTTTACTTTTGTTAGCTGTATATGCAGCTTGAAGCTCCAGGACAAATAGTTTGTCAAAGTTTTTAAAGCATTTTTATTGGCCTAGGACATGGGTTTTAAAAAGTTAAGCATTTATGCTTGTTTTTATTGAAATGAACAAAAATTTAAATTCAATGGGTTTAATTATAAGTCGTGGGAGGTTAATGCAGACGCTTGGTTGCCATGTTCCTGTGCAGTATTTTATAGTAGGATTAAATGTTGCAAGTGGTGATATTTGCTGCCACAGTATTTAGTAACTACTCAGAAGAGAATGTTCCACGTTTCAAGTCGTACAAGTTCTAGCATATGATGTGTAAGGCTGAAGGGAAGGTTGGCTCTTCACCCATCGAAGAGGAATTGCAGATTGTGCACTGTTACTCTGTGGCAGTAGGTGTGCAGACAGTGGCTTGTTACATGGAGTTCTTTTTTACCCTCTGCTTTGTGCACAACTGGCCCCTGTAAGCTGAAAGGCTAGATAGATGCCATAGAGGGGGCTTGAGGAGCACTTCCTCTGCTGCTCCAGAGGCTTTCTGTGGCCTGTCTTAAGCAGAAGGGAGGGACCAGCTTTAGCCCTTGGACCTGCTCTGTGAAGAGGTTGGTCGTTTTTTGCATATAATCACATGAGATGAGCCAGTCTAGTGGGATCACCTTCATTCCTCGTGGAACTGAAGTATGAGTAAATACTCTCCCTCCTGCTATTCTTTCGTGAGTTTTAGATGTGTACATTCTGAGTTAACTGGAAATTTGATCAAGAAAAATCTTTCATCCCCCATGACCCTGCCATGCCTTCACACTGATTCAGGTTGTTGAAAGAATCTTGCCATCTTTGCAGATGTCACTGTGTCACATTGCTTCAGGAGATGTACTGATGCTGCTGTACAGCAATTAGTGTGTTGTAATTATAATGTGGCTTTCTGTGAGGAGGCAAATTACTAGTGATGATAATGAGCCCTTGCTGAAATTCAGATTTTATCTTTAGTTTTTTCTTAACCAGGAATTCCTATTAAGCAGTACTTACATCAGTGTTACAGTAAGTTACTGGGAGCATTAAATCAGAGAATATGGCTCTGTGACCAACTTGGCAAAAGAACTTTTTCCTTGGACAGGAAAGAAGACAGTGTATGTTCAGTTATAAATGAGTTGGATAAATCTCAAGGAAAATCTGGGGGGAAATGGTATTAATTACATTGTGAGCATGTTGTACTTCAAGATAGGTGAAAAATACTTGGTTGCCTTGGATAATTATGAATTCACAGTTTTATACCCTGGACTGCTATTGGTGATGGTTGAGATAAAATGTTAGACCTGTTGGAAATGTACTGGAGAAATGCTTGAATTAGGGTTTTTCCTGTTAGCTTGAAAAAAATTAAAAACACTTTTGCAGACTCCGACTGTGAAAACATCTAGAAGAATCATTATAATAATTGCCAAAAACCAGCTTAGTAGTAAAGCATATGGTCACTTGCAAATTTTGGAAAGTGAATTAATCTAACTTCTAGAAATTATTGAGACAGGGAGCATTTAAATTTAGTCATGTCTTTTTAACCTAAAATGTGAGATCTTGCTGTAAAACTCGACATGATTTCTCATATGTTACTTAGTTTTCCGTGTGAGTCATCACTTGAGCCAAATAGTTAATCTTCTAAATACAAGCTTTTACAAAGTGAGGCTTCAGAGTCTAGGATTGACTTTATCTCTCCTCCCTTTTTAACAAACCTGTGCAATGTTCCTGGAGTCAGTATGGGAACTCTCTTGAAAAATGACTGTTGCTTCAAATATCTCTTTTGGTGTTTCGCAAAGTAGCATGTACCAA